TTGCCCATCATGACTTGATGTAGTTGAGAAGAGGTATAAGGAGGTACTCCTTAAAGAGAGCCAGCTGAAGGTGGCATGGGTCACTGATGTAGTCTTCTTTGGGGCTCCTCCTCCCCTATACCCCACCCCTTTCCACTCAGGGTTCCAGTTGGTGTTGGACACACACAGTTGGCCATCCTGACCAACCACCTTGCAGCTCAGACAAAGACGCATTCAGGTTGACTGGAGTCAGTGTGATCTGACTGCTGACTGGATTCTATTGCAAGTTCAGGGTCAGCCGGGTAAGGCCAACATAAGGAAGCAAAAAAAACTAATAACAATTTAAATGACTATGCTTTAGGCTCTTCTCTGGCCCTCCAGGCAGTTTGGTCACCTTTCCTCAGGCAGTCCCAGTCCCACAGTAGTTACCCTGTACTTGCTTAGTCTGTGTGGGCCTGCTTAACCTAGGCAGGTCCCTGAAGTAATGCAGGGCCAGGGATGTCACGAATCCAGCTTAGCTCCTAAGGGTACCTGGCTTCTCTGGCAGCGTGGAAATCCAGCATTGATCTGGTTAACTCAGATGCTTTGAGTCTTGAGTTTCTGGCTCCTTGCCCCCATGGGGAAATGTGATGAGAGTCCTCATCTGTCTGTTTGTTCCCCCCATCCTGGGGTCGGTACATGCTTACATAGGGGTTTCTAGGTTGGTAGGAGCCATCCCAGCCCTTCATTTGCCTCCATGTGCCCAACTGCTTTTGACACGTTAGGATCTCCTGATCTCATCATTCCTGTAGCTGCTGCCTCCAGGCCCCAGGTTGCCCAGGTTGTGCTCAATGTACCAGCTGCCTGCTCCCTCTCTGCACTGCAGTGTAAGCCTGCATGGAGCTGGGGTTCTGACCCCCACTCTGTTCTGGGCATGGGGCCTGGGCAATACCCTCTGCATGCTGTCTGGCTGTTTGGCAGTACAACAGAGTATGTCCTAGGTGCATGGGTTCACCATTTCCCCACGAGCCTGATCAGGGATCTGCTGCCTGTGGGGTATACCAGCAGCCACTGTCCTGGCGAGTATGGGGCTTGGCTGGGCCCCCGCTACAGGGAGGCTGCCCCAGGGTTTCCTAAATTGTTCTTCTAAATGGCCAACAGATGCATGTGGTCTCCATCTTACGAACTAATTGCATGACTCCGTTGCTCCACTACACCATGCCCCATGCCTTGCAGATGTCATCCTTGTGTTTTCTTTCGCTTAAGCCTCTTCTAGGGTTCCTGGACCTTTTCTGGTCCCACATCCTCAGCCCCTCATTAGGTTCTGGACCCTCTCTGGGTCCTTAGGCACCTCCTCCTCCCCTTACTTCTTCCCCAAACCTCCAGACTGCTTTCAGTGCTCTCTCCATGCTGACCTTCTGGAGCTGTAGCCATCCTAATGTGGAGGTATTCTTTCAGCAGACTCCAAGGGCATTTATACACATGCTCCAGGAGTATATAAATGTTCTCTGTACTGCTCTAATTAAAGCTCTTAGAGTATCATGTGTATCAGTGTCCCCACGCTGTAAAATGGCAGTGGGGATGATTTAACTAAAGCTCATTGAATGAGCTTTAGTTCAAGACCCCCACTGCCATTTTTAGTACAGAGATGCTGATACATGCAATGCCTGGAGTCTACTGGAGCATGGTAATTACCATGCTCCAGCAGACTCAATTAATCAATGTCTGCTTCAGTGTGCTGTAATAACAGCGCATCAGAGCAGCCTCCCTGCATGTCTATAGGTACTCTGAGATGTTACTGCCAGCTTCTCTCAGGGCCTGGACTTACGCCTGTTGGCTCCCTGGGTCAGCTGACCCCAGAATTAGCCCTGGCCTGCACCTGCCAGCAGCTTTGCAGGCTGCCTGGCCTCTTAAAGTAGCAGGCACCCCAAGTGTCCTGCCACACTGAGAATTACAAACATGATAAGAAAGATCCATGTGATGATAGAAACACTGTTGTACTATCAGATCTCTCCCAGCTCCCCTTCTTCCTCTAGTCCCCAAACAACAAATCAATGCAAGGCATACATTAAAGACAAATGATTCTGACTTAATTCATGCTGGTGTAAATACACATTAACTCCATTGATCATAATAGATCCAGATCAGAGTTATTAGGAGCAAATTCTAGATTTCTGAGTGTTTACTCCGTGGTTACTTGTGTCCCATAATCTTCAATTAATTTGTAGCCCTCCCCCACCCCTATCCCTCAGGCAGCTCTATGTTTATTAATGAATTTCACACCATTTTCACATCACAACAATTTTTTTTGGCAAACATTTCTTTGCTAAATTTCCAATAAAATGTATGTGTTGTATACAAATGAAATAATGCACAATACCATACAGGTTCAAATTAACATACAAGGGGTATGAGACCACCAGACTTTTTAAATACATAAAAGAGGTATAACAGATATTTTTATTAGTATTTATTAGTAATAGGTGATAGAGATTATACTGTTATTTTTACTAGTATGTAATATTTCACATATAAAAATTCTATAGTCCTCACAATGTGTTATCACAGAAACAGAGTCCTTGGCTCTTAACCAACTTCATATACTGAGTTGCTTTTTAACTCCATGTAACAGACTTGTGGCCACAGGGGCAGCCGTGACAGCCCCTGGTGGCCGTAAGCCCTTGCCTGGCTCAGGCTTGACTGTAGCCCTCCCTGGATCACTTGTTCTTTTTAAAGATTGTATAAGGGAGGCTGCCCATGGGCTCTGAGTTAGCCTGAGCCTGTCAATCATCACTAGGCCCCTCCTGAGTCCCCTTAGTCACAGCCCTGCCCCCTGGGTTAGCAGGCCCTGTCCATACCTCTGCCAGACATCTGTAGGCTTAAAGGCAAATTGTGTGGCTCCATTCTTCCCCCACACCATGCCCCAAGCTTCACAGGTGTTACTGTACCATCACATTCTAATGTAGAGGGCTTGGCTTTATCGGCCTCTGCCCCTCTTGCTCTCGCTGGGCTCTTTTTAGCACATACCCACAGTACCGGACCTGGATTCTAGGCTCCAGCCTCCTTGACTGCAGGTCCCAGCAGTGGCCCCCTGGACCTTTGGCCATTCCTGGGCTCTGACCCCACTCCTGGGCCAGTCAAGATCACCAGGCTAGCTGGCTCTGGCAGTCCCCAGCTGCAGTTTCTCCTGGACCTTAAGCCCTTCCTGGTCCCCCAGGCAGCTCCTCCCTGAGCTCCTGGACCCTTCAGCTCTCCCCAGGCAGCTTCCTGGGCTACCAGTTCTTTGACTATGCCTTGAGCTGCCCTCAGTAGGCCCTCAATTTCAAATTTGATACAAAGAAAGTAGCACATCACTGCTTTTTCTGTGTGCACATTTTTTTGTAAAATACCCTTCCAATTTCAGTTCTCCAAACCTTAGCTATTTTAGTTGTTGCTGCTTTTTTAGTTCCTTATTATCCCCCTATAAGAATCAAAACTTCTTAAAAAAAGTATTCTGCCTGTGTCTTAGTGGTTAAATCTAGTGTAAATCCAGAGCAGGCTTCTTATGTCACTGGAACTGTGATGAGCTTGTTGCACTAGCGTTTAATGAGAAGAGGGGAGGACGGCACTGTTTAAAACAGTTTATTTGTCAAGGACAATTTAAGGTATGGTAAAACCATTTTCTTGCCTTCCATACAGAACTTGGAAATCCTCTCATTCTGACTCCTCTTCATATTTAATATATAATTTCATGTTCTACTATTTTGCTGTTTCTTTTGAGTATAATCCTCACCTACAGAACACTACCTTGTTCATTCCAATATTTTACTTCATCTTGTTAAGAACTTCTTATAAACTCTGTAACTTATACTGAAGTAGCAAGCTTCTTAAGAGCAGG